CATCAATATTTTGACACGAGTAATACACAATTATATTCATCAAGGTATGCTCTTTCAGAATTACTAATACTAGTGCTTAATAAATAAAAGCTGTGTTCACAAAAAAATTGTAAAAAAACGTTATTTAGCCTCACAACTGCGTAAAACCTCTTAATCAGACTAAAACTATTGCCAGTGCTGTTTGCTTTCCGAATAACAAGTTAATAGTTGAGAATCTAAATAAAAATTTAAATTTAAATGATAACATTATATTAGCTGGAGATTTTAATGCGCGCCAAAAACATGGAATTGCGCTAATAATAATTCGAATGGAAGGATACGTCATAACTTTCCTATAAACAATCATAACGAACAAAACACTTCATTAATCTTTTTTCCTAGCTCATTGGCAAAAAGAAAACTGACTATCGTTTAGAACTTCAAAAAATTATTATTAATGATATAAAATATGAAAATAAAAATCTAATGCAATTGGTGATACCTTCGAAAGCTTACGCAAACAAAACTTCGACATTGGTCATCCGCTCTTTTCAAATCATGTTGAGTCCTCAGCAAGATCTTTCTTACAACCAAATTTTATAGATCATTCTAACATATCTTATGCAATAGGCATAGATGGCATTCCAAACATAGTTTTATAATCTATATATATAAAAGAGGATCGCTTAAGTAGCAACACTTATAACTCACGAACGGCTGAACCGATTTAGATGAAATTTGGCAGGGAGGTAGTTTAGAGCCAGGAGAAACACATAGGATACTTTTCATCCTGTTTTTCATTCTAATTCATTATATATATATATATATATATATATATATATACTAATGAAAATTCTAAATATACTAGCTAACCCGGCCACGCGTTGCTGTGGCTCAGTAATCTATTGCTGGCAGGGAGGTAGTTTAGAGCCAGGAGAAACATATGAAATACTTTTCATCCCGTTTTTTATTCTAATTCTGAATTATTTACCTATAAACTATCTATGTAGTTTATTCAATCTATGATACTATCAATGATTTCATCCATGACATTTACCTTCGATTGTCAACTGTCATTCGGTGTTTCTGTCATTGATGTTAACCTCTACTACCTCATGTTAAATATAGTGAATGAATATTAGTTCTTGGTTCTATATATAAGGTGAAGTGAAGTTTAATTAATAATGCCGCGACCAAGCCGATCGAATCTTTCCCAACAAAGCCGTAATGCAAGAAGAATGCGAAATATTGCAAATGCAAGAACTGAAGAAGAGCATTACATACATTTACATTTACATGTACATTTTGTCGAATAACTTATTCCCAGTTATAATTTCCCAGAATTCATCGAAGAATGGTTAGTTATATATGAAGGTACGGGGTTAAAAGTTCCAGGACCAAAGTGTCAAAAACCAGTAAAGCTAAAGCATTGTTTAACAACATTATTTGAAAGTGAAGGGAATAAGGTGTATAACCAGCTATAACCTTGATTCTTATGACTTTGATATTGGGAGATAAACGGTCATCTTTGAAAATCCATAGTAAAAGTAATTTCTTCTGTTGGTACTTTTTTAACATTAGTTAAAAATGTAATTATTTTGTAAAATACCTTTAAAATTAAAATAAGACATTAAACCTGTTTGCCATCTGGCCGTTCCAAGCCTATAGGGTAAAAAGGTCTAGATAACAAATATTTGAAAGACAGAAAAAAGCACATTTTTACAATGATGAAGTAGCTGGTAGTTTACTGAACGTAGTAAGATAATTGTTTGTTTGAAATGTGTCATTTGTTGTGATAAAATTGATTTGATTTTCATAATAAAATTTATATTTCCTCAAACTCAAATTGGACCTTTGTGCCTTGCCCTACTCTACGTATATACTTTTTATTAAATTTACTTTAATTCAAGGTATGTTACTTGAAACTTTTTAAAAAGCAGGTCAGAGCAGTTATATCTAATTCATTTTCTATCTCTCCTCGCAGAAATTTGAAAAATTTGTATAAGCTCAGTAGTATTATTTACAATTATACACAAAATCCAGAATCCAGAAGAATCTGAAAAGCTTAAAATGTAATCAATAAGTTGAAATACCAAAAAAGACTTGGATTGGATTATACCATGATTTCTATAGAAAGTGTATAAAGCTTCCAGTTTGATTGTATTGACAAAACATAGACAAACTAATGGGGTTTATTGTTTTGAAAATACCTCATTGTATATAGCATTCAAACAACACATCCTTATACACTTATAGTATTAATATTTTTGATTCTCTAGAAATTGTTTAGAATATACCTTACTTGGCAAAACAACGTTTGCCGGGTCAGCTAGTATTTTAATAAAGAAGCAGTAAACAAAATAGTAAATGGTATTCTTAAATTGAGCTACTTTCCTACCATTTGGAAGACTTCAACCGTTGTACCAAATAAAAACCCAATAAAAACTCTGACCTACCCGATAGTTATCGCTCAATAAGTTTATTAAGTAATGTGAGTAAAATTGTTGAAAAGATTTTATGTTAGGCTGCTAGAATTCTCAAATAATAACAAAATTATTCCTAATAAATAATATGGCTTCAGAGACAAACATTCAACTATACATCCGTTATACCAAATCAATTCAGTTATCATTTATAACTGAAAACACAATACAAACAAAATACTGGAATGCGAATGCTAGATATCGAAAAAGCATTCCATACGGCATGGATTAGTGGGCCTATATCCAAGCTGATCAAATTTAAATTCCCAAATTTTCATTTATACAATTAATAGTTATTCGAATAATAGGCAATTTAAAGTCAATATGAATAACAGATTTTCATCGTTAAGGTATATAACAGCTCGTGTCACCCAAGGAAGTATAGTTGGCCCAATCCTTTTCAATATTTATATTTTCGATAAGCCAAATACTAATCATACTTATTTATTAATATTTGCTGATATAGCTATATTCACATCAGCTAAAACAAATAACACCATTATAATAAGAATTGATAATCATGCCTTAAAAATACAAACTTCTGTAGAAAATGGATAATGACAATTAACAATTCAATAATTGAAGCCTTTCTATTTAACAAACGAAGCAAAAACATTACACCTCTTTCAAACGTAATCATCAACCATTATTTTATTCCCTGGAAAACCAATATGAAGTATCTCGAAATTCCACTTGACAGAGAGCTTAACTTTACAGAACACATAATCACAAAAATTAAACAATAAACTTTTCTTCCTTCACTTCAAACTGATAACGGGTTAAATTTTCATAATAAGAAAAAAAATCTATATTACAATGATTCGTTTGCAGCTATATGGATGCCCTGTTTGATGTACAACCTTTTAACATAATATCAAAAAAGTACAAATTTTTCAAAATAAAATGCTAAGGCTGATTCCTGGAGAAAAAAGAGACCCAGTAACGCACAACCTCACTTCCAACAAAATAATTCACGAATCAAAGACTGCATTATGAAGTCACTTAACAATTTCTAGAAAGGAGCATTGATAGTGATAATATCAACGTTAAAATGATTGATAAAATAACTGAAGATATGCTTTGGTACAATAATTACCAATTAGCTTCATAATTAACCAATAATTTATCTTTTTAATTTCCATCATGTTGAATGATTTATTACTCCCTATTTAACTTGCTCATCCTTACTTTACTGTCTTTAATTTAATATTTTAATACAAATATTTATGTTTTTTTTTATAGAATTTGTCCATTATTTTCAATATCATATATTTATTAATTCCAGTATTATATAGTATGTTGTGTAATTTGAATGATTATATTGATATCAATTGGATAGGTGTGTAATTTGTTATTATTATATTTACTTATAATAGACAAATGAAGTTTAACACGAAAAAAAAACACAATGCATATATTATTTGCTTTTAGTATACGTGTCTCATTTATTTAATTATTATATTTAAACCATTGTTGTTCAGAATACCATGCTAGTTTTAATCAAAATCGCTGGAGAATGCACCCTGGATGAATGGATGAATTAAAACTTGATAATTCGGTGAATTTTTATTATGTGAAACCTAATACTGTCAACCCTCCGTTAACACGGCACTCTGTAAACACGATTTCTTAACTACATGGAGCAAAAACTCCATATAACACTAGTCTCGCTCGACAAGCGCTAGTTCAGTCTGCGCAATCTATGGAAGTTTTAATACAGGTTTTATTATAGACTATTTTAACTTTTACAATATATTTATATAAACATGCCATGTAATAGTTGTGTACGACATCAGATTAATTAGTGATATCGCTTTTTCACACAAAATTAGTCTTTGTAAAAAAAATTCAGCTTGAGATACTTTTTGCTAGTAAACAATTTTTTTAGTTTAACTTTTGTTTGAATCTTTTATCTTTTCCTAATACAAACCCTTGAATTCAATAAAAACTATTCCTTTTTTTATTTTTTTTTTTCATTGGTAATTGCTTTAACATTTAACCACTTAAAATTCTTACTATCAATCATTTTAAAGTCTACATCATTTTTATATTTAGTATTCATCGAAATTAGAACGCTTACCGATTCGACTATGCACGCCTTCCACAATTTGTAATCAAATTTCAAACTTATAATATCTTTTACGCCTTGGTCTCCATAGAAGCAATAAGAATGGTAAACTTGTTATAATTTTGAGTCTCTCATAGCACGGGTCCCATACAACGCTATAGAAAGTTTCCATAGAACGCACTAAAAATTAGCCTGGATTCTATGTTAAATCCGAGATTTTTATAATAATTGAAGCACGGTTCCCATACTATACGATAAGCACCTGCCGCGTTAACGGAGGATTGACTATATATAATAAACGTGAAATATATTCATTTTAAATAAATTATAACATATAATAAGTATTTATTTCAAAGTTTCATGAGATATCGCCGAAATAAGTTTTATTCTAAATCATTGCAGCAATAAACTTTGTAGTTTTCCACCAGCAGTAATAATATTTATACTATATAAATTTAGCGTTAACCCACCTTAAAATCTAATACACCTGCTGTAGCTTGTTGTCTTATAACATCAGAATCGAGAACTTCATTAATACTCTGAATCAATTTCTTCTGGTGAGGTAACACAGCATTTGAAAGACCAATTTTTACATCTTCTAAAAGTCTCAAAGCTTGATCATAACAAGGAGGTGTCATCTCTAGCTCTGATCGGAGAATATCCCAAAATGCTCGTTTGATAGTGTCGGTTATGGCCTTTTCAAGGCTGTAAGTAATAAGCCAAAATGTAACAATTTGTTATTTTATCAAAACATAAAAACGTTTCACGTTATATATGAAATTCTTCTGTAATGATGTATGAAAAGATACTCCTCCTAAACGATTATTCGGATTTTGATAAATTTTTTTGAAGTTTGTTAAGAGAAATTTAAAGGATGTAAATAATTATAAAAATATAGTAATATTGTAGAAAAAAATCAAAAAAATTGCAAGAAACGACATATTTCTGTTTGACATTGGAAATTTAGTTTGACAAATAAGAACTGTCATCTGCAGAAATTTTAATTCACTTATGGGCCAATTAGACAATAGTAGAATAATATGATTATGAATGATTATGAATAAGAAAAATGTAATATCTACTAATTGCCTAAACGCGGCTGATATGTGCCAGAAATTAATATAATATAATATACAGTACATGTATGGCAGATCAAATTATATAATTCAATTTGACAGATTATTATTTTTAAGCTAATGCAGTCGTGTTTTGCCTTACCTAACTAAATCACAATACAAACAAATTTACTTATACAAAAAATTAGTTTTATTATTTCAGAAATTCATTTGTTTGGCATTGGATACAGAATATTTACTCTAGTCAATGCAGCGTTTTAGTTCTGAATTTTTTACTGTGCTCCAATTTGCATGAAATTTTGGAACTATGTTCATCTTACTCCCAAGTTCAAAAATGAAAATAATTTAGACTCCGCCGCCACTTCTTGGTAGGATTGCCCCCTTCTCAGAGGTGTAATTTTATTTTTTCCAAAATAACGTCGGATATCGATAAAAGAACTAAATAAAAAAATCTTGGTACTACACCCAAAAAAATTTACACAAAATGTGTACACATTATTAAAATCTCTATAAAATATCTGATGTGCATATGTCCAATATACATTTTTGACCGCCAAATGACATTTTTTTTACTTTATTTATTGAGAGTCCATAACCGATGGACCTGCCTTCCCAAAAAATTAATCAGTTCTTCATCTTATCAATACAAGTAAAACGTTTTTTAAATTATTAAAATCGGACGCTCCGTTCTTTTAAAAACTGAGTTACCGTTTTTTGGCACTTTTTGCCCCGTATCTTGGGAACGGCTAAACCTGCCTTCGTCTAAAACTAATCAGTACGTCTCATTATCAATATGAATCGAATGTTTTTTAAATTATTCAAATAGGTTACTCTATACTGTCGAAAATATCAAGGACATTTGTTTGAACCATATACGTAAATTTCATAATTAAAAATTTTGATACGGAACCCAAAAAAAATTACACAAATTGTGTACACATTATTAAAATTTCTATAAAATATCTCATTTCTCACGTCAGAAATTAAATATTTTGTCGTAAAAAGTTATAATAGTTCTATCAGTTTTAGTAAGTTACTTATAAGTCAGTGAGCTGAGTGAACCTCGCCTCTGAGTGCAGGTAAATTTTTTGTTAAAATGTTCCCCATCAGAGGAGACATAGTGTCAAACAATGCAGCTGTTGATACAATCAGTGCATCAAATATTTTGAACACAGCGCTATGCCCAGGTTTATCAGAGGTAGCTCAAAACCAGCTAGCAAGCTCAGGCGACGACGTAAATAGTAAAGGAGAACCAATGGCTGAACTGTCAAAAACAATTTCAGAAAACGTCATTTTACGACGTAACGAGTCATTGAAGAGCCTTGAAAAACTGATAAATGACCTTCACATGTTGGTCAAATCAAAGTCAAACATACATAAAGAGGTGAAGATAAAAACAGGCAACTTAGCGGCTGTAATTAAAAGATTTATTGATTTAGACCACCAAATGATAGAGGAAATAGGCCGAACCACGAAAGATACGAAAGTAATGATAAATGAGGTGCAAAGTGGTGAAATAGCGCCTATAGAAGAAGGCGTACGGCAGGGCACAAGCGAAGCCTCAAGAAACCGAAACTCTCAAAATATAAGAATTAGTCAGGTTAATGAGAAAAATGGTTTACCTAGACGTCACTCAATCATAGAAATATGTAACGAAGAACAAATCGAGGTAAATGACTGGCATAAAGTTCAGCCGAGGAAACAGAAAAAAAAGTAAGCAAGGGTACATCTGTCAGAACAGGACTCTAACCATAAAATGATAAAGAATCATAGAATTTTTCCACAACAAAATGCCTTATTGATCCGGCCTACCAAAAAAGTTAATTATTCTGGAATCTTACGTCGTATCAAACATGATGTCCCTGATGACCAGGTGAATACGACAGTAGACAAAATAAATAAAACCAGAAATGGAGACTTGTTGATAGCCATTTCCAAGAAAAGTGCGGACAAAGGCCAAGCCCTACAACATATTATTGCAGGTGTGTTAAAGGATGAGGCCGAAGTTATCTATAAGGGGCACCAAGAAACTATAGAAATAAGGGATATTGATGATGAAGCCTCAAAAATTGATATCCAGTCAGCACTACAAAAAGCAACCAAAACAAAAGCAGCAGAAGCAATTAAGATTCGTGAGGCATACAGAGGTACTCAGATTGCTACAATAGCTCTACCAGCGCAAATTGTACATGATCTGCTCAGAGCAAGTAGCAAAATACGAATTGGATGGGCCAACTGTCGAATTAAAACCATCAAGAAACCAATCCGGTGCTTTAAATGCTGGCTATTTGGACATTATGGATCACAGTGCAAGAGCGAAGTGAATCGGACCAATCTATGCATTAGATGTGGACAAGAAAGTCACAAAATAGCAAACTGTATAAATGCAGCAAAATGTACACTATGCGCTGGAAATGGAAACTCTGAAAATGTTGCACATCATGCCGGCACTCACAGATGTCCTGTATATAGGGAGGCCATGGAGAAAATATTGAACGCAAAAGCATGAAGATAATGCAGCTAAACATGAATCATTGTGAGGCTGCACACGACTTGCTTATGCAGACGGTAAGATATATGAAAATTGATATTGCCCTCTTGTCAGAACCTTACAAACAACTAACTGTGGCCATGGGAAACGGACAGTACCACGAAAGCTGTTATTAGGTCCTGTGGTAAATTTTGTTTCCAGAATGCTGTTAACAATAGCAACGCTAGATTTGTAGCAGCATCATTAGATGACATACATTTATACAGCTGTTACGCTCCACCTAGTCTTTCTTCGCCAGATTTGGTTGATTTCTTAGATCGTCTAGTAGAGGTGCAAAACGACACCACCCCGTAGCGATAGCCGGCGACTTCAACGCATAGGCGGTAGACTGGGGAAGTAGAAAGACTAATGCAAGAGGTAAAGCACTTTTAGAAGCCTTTAATGCACTTGATGTTGTTTTACTAAATAGCGGTAATAAGCCAACCTTTGTCAAGAGCTGTGCAAGCTCAATAATAGACCTTACTTTTGTTAGCAATAGCCTCGTCAGAGGAAATTGCGATTGGGAGGTATTAGATATCTACACTGCTAGTGACCACAATGCAATCACCTAGGAAATATCAACGAATAGAAACATTAGAAGACATGTATAGATATCTAAAGCTATTGGGTGGAAAATAAAATCTTTTGATGAAAGCGCCATGAGAGTTGCCTTAAATTGCAAACCTATAATTTCAGAATACGCAGATGAGCATACTAGAGAGCTGATGGAGAGAATAACTGAAGCCTGTGATATCAGTACGACTCGTAAGCATGGCATAAATCAAAGGCAATATGTGCACTGGTAGACTGAAGAAATCAGCTCTCTTCGTAAAGTGTGCCAAAAGAAAAGAAGGAAATCTCACCGAGGATATAGTCTCACAAATTCTGCACAACTGGTAGTGGAATATAAACAGGCACGCAAGTTAGGTGCTGGAAAGAACTTCTGGATGAAGTCGAGGAAAACCCATGATGAAAGCTTTATAAGATTTGTTTGATTTTTATTTATATTGTTCATTAGATATACGGTTAATTTTTTTTTCATATAATTTTACAAATTCGTCGGTTTATTTACTATTCTTTAACTTATTCAGTTATTGCAATAGTCTAAAAATCGAAATTGAAATTTTTTGCATACATCAGACGAAAATGGATATATGTGTTTGTATGTGTCGATAAAATTTTTCATCGACGATTCTGAGCGTACGGAACAACCGATTTTAATGATTAAAAAAACAATCGATTCCTATTGATAAGAAATGGTCGTCCAATTCATAAGCTCTTATATTTTGTTTATAAAATAGGAATAATAAAAGTTACAGATTTATAATAATTTAATTGAAAACATTTAACATTTCTCGAATATTTTCTTATGGTACGGGATGTTCCAGCAATTTGCCTTAAGGCATGATGCTAAACACCACTAGTTTTTTTTGTATTTGTGCTAATGTGCTTAGTTTGAGTTTATGTTATTTTTATTTATTTTCTTAATGACTTTGTTTCGCATAAAATTTCATTCTCCGAATAATTTGCGTTGTTTATGTTGTATAAAGTTTCTAATGCGCTCGATACACAAGCACCGATTTCGTTGAACCAGGTCCCGTTGAACTAATTTATCAAACCAGTGGTGCATGGCATCGTGCCTTAAGGCAAATTGCTGAAATTTCCCGTACCAAAAATTATTTTTTTTTAGAAAATTTCAACATTATTAGAAAAGTTGAAATTTTTGAGAATTTTGAAATTATTGAAATTATTGAAAAATTTTAAATTTTTTTCATTCCTTGATATTTTTAAAATTTTGAAAAATTTTAACTTTTTTTCTCAAAGCAATCGTGCTGCGTGACTTTTTTAGATACTAAGTGTGACAAATTCGATCTTCGCTAAGAGTTCTGATGAATCTATGATGCCGTTCACAATATTGAGAAAAAAAAAATCCAAGATTTTTCTCCGGGCTGTAAAGTTGTCACTTTCGTTTAAGATTAATTCAGTCACTTTGTTCAGACTATTGAGTAATTCAGTGCACGGAGACCAAACTATTGAAAAATAATCTAGAATAATCTCTAGATTAACGAAGAACGTTTCGAGTTTGTGAAAATCATTGC